AATATCCAATCCATTTCAAGCAAAAAAGATTTTAATTCGTTTTCGCATGCAATGAAGTATACTCAATTTTATTTTTGGCAGTACACAGTGTGATATGTCATGGTATATGTGTGTTTTAGTTTCAAATTATATACTCTCTTTGTTCTCAAAAAACTTCCTCTTTCATTTTTTCCACTTCCAATAAAACACTTCCCTTTTCTATTAAAAACTCACTTTTACCACTTACTTTTTCATACCCTACCTATCACATCATACTTTTTGTCTAATAATCTATCTATCACATCTTACTTTTACCCATCACGTCAGGGGCAAAATTGAAAATCAACTATAATTTAACACTTCCTTTTTTTTGCCTCAAATCCAAATGGGAAGTGTTTTTCCGGAGGGAGTAGAAAAGAAGAAAAGTAATAAGTTCAGTCATTTTGGCAATGAAATATGTTCATACGTTGTTATAGTATTCATTCATGGTACTCATTTTTAGTTTTTGTAGTGGATACAAGGCATATATAGTGGTGGTTTGGTTTTAAATTGTATAGGAAAGTAGAAATCAAGTTCATTTGTTTTGACAAGGAAATATGTTCAATCTTATGTTTGGTAGTATATATTCATTGTGATATTTCCTAATATGGTTGTGGTTTGGTTTGAAATTGCGTACGAAAGTAGAAAAGATGTGCACTCATTTTGACAATGAAATGAGTTCATTTTTTTTAGAACAAACAACTTTCATTAATTCAAAAGAGAAATAGGAAAATCAGGGGGACAAAATCCCAATCACCTGTTTGAGTTTCAACCCGCCTAGCTAACGTATGCGCTACCACATTGAAATTTCTACGAACATGAGAAACCAGAACAGATTCAAACGAGGCCATGAGGGCCTTACAGTCATCAATCAAAGACCCGAAATACGAAGCACAATCCGACACACCACTATCATTAATTTCCTCAACGACACGAAAACAATCAGAAAAAATAACAACAACCTGGACTCCAAGACTTTTGAGCCACGACAAAGTCTCCCGGCATGCCATAGCTTCTGCTAACAACGAATCTTGCGGGCACCACAACCGTCGAGCAAAAGCCGCTTGAAATTCCTTAGAAGAGGAGAAAACCACTCCACCAGCACCAACCAAACCTGAAGCATGGAATAAAGCAGCATCAAAAAACAATGGGCAGCTTCAGGGGGGAACCCTCACTGCCGAAGGAGATAAGGTAGGGGATCCCCTCTATGACTATTCTCCCACCCTTTCGAAAAATTCAGCACCATGCAAACTGTGACCTCCGGGGTTGGAACCCATTGTTCCCATACGGCTGCGTTCCTACACTTCCAAATCATCCAAATTGTCCACACTATGGGGATTAGCTCACCGGACGTGGCCGTCTGAAACACCAACTGAATCCAGTCCGAGAACGAACTCGCCGCCGATCGATTAGCCACCCGGAAGCTACTGCGTTCCCACACGTAATCTACAAACGGGCAAAGAAGAAATAAATGATCCACTGTTTCACTCCGCTGGCCACAAATGGAACAACAATTATCAATCTCCAAACCTTTGGAATTCAAGGCCGAAATAGTTGGGAGAATACCTCGAAGTGCACGCCATACACAAACCTTTACTTTGGGAGCTACTGGACTCCTCCACAGTCGGCTCCATTGTGAAAATCCTGTAGTTTGGGTGGCCTCCCCCATAATCCTGCGATACCCCGACTTCACTCAGTAAACGCCGTCCTCACTGCCAATCCAAAACCAACTATCTTTACGCCAAGAGCAACAAGGAATCAACTGCACCTGAGACACGTCGCGTTGCACAAGATGAGTTTGAAGCCTCTCTAAATTCCAACAACCCCTATTCGCATCAATAAAAAAAACTCACCGGCAAGTTAGCACTTGGTGAAGCTAACACAGTGTGAAGAAACGGGTTATCCCAGTCGAACAACCACGGAGTACCCCACGCCATTGTTTCGACCCCATTCCCAATACGCCTGCGTACCCCCGCTTTAACCAACTCTTGGGCTGCCATAATGCTCTGCCAACAGTAACTTGGAGTAGACCCCAAACCTGCTTCAAGGAATGCAGAGTTAGGGAAATATCTAGCTTTGAAAACCCGTGACATAAGGGCCTCGGGTTTGGTCAAGAACCGCCACCCCTGTTTACCTAGCATGGCAATATTGAAGTAATGAATGTTTTTGAAGCCCAAACCCCCAAACTTTTTAGGAACAGACAACATATCCCATGACATCCAATGAATTCCCGAGGCATTAGACCCACCTCCCCTCCACCAAAAGGAATTCATTAACTTCTCAATACGATCACAAACAGACAAAGGTAGACGGAACACACTCATAGCAAATTGGAGCATAGCTTGTGCACCAGTCTTAAGCAAAATCTCTTTCCTGGCTTTAGAAAGCAATTTTTTACTCCATCCGCCAATGCAATGTCGAATCTTGTCAAGAATGTAAGTAAAAACCCCACTTTTGTCCCTTCCTAAGAAAGAAGGAAGACCCAAATATTTCCCAAAGTTATGAGCTGGGGTGACACCAAAAAAAGAGGTAACCCATTGCTTCAACAAAGGGGGGACATTCAGACTGAAACAAGCATTGGATTTATGAAAATTGATAACCTGACCTGAGATCCGTTCATACTCAACCAAACAATCTCTCATTGCACACACCTCATCAGAAGAAGCCTTGAAGAGCAAAAGACTATCATCAGCAGAGAATAAATGAGAGATATGTGGAGCCTCTCTACAAACTCGGATCCCATGAATCGCACCTCGTCTTTCCGCATCCTGTAAAAGTAATGAAAGACTCTCAGCACAAATAATAAAGAGATAGGGGCTCAACGGGTCGCCTTGACGGACCCCTCTGCTAGGGGTGATAGGTTCCGTAAATTCACCATTCAGCGCAATCTTATATTTAACAGTGGTAACACAAAGCATAATAAGATTAACCCATCTCTGATCAAAGCCCAACCTCAACATCATAGTACGCAAAAAATTCCACTCCATCCTATCATACGCTTTAGCCATGTCCAACTTAAGACCCACCCAACCGGTGTTTCCCCCTTGCTTACGACGAAGAAAGTGACCCAACTCTGCAGCAAGAAGAATATTATCAGAGATCAAGCGCCCCGGTATAAAGGCTGATTGAGTATGAGAGATAATATCCGAGAGCATAAACTTCATACGATTGGCCAAAACCTTCGCTATGATTTTATAGACAACATTACACAAGGCAATGGGTCTTAAGTCTGCAACCGTCTCAGGAATGTCCTCCTTCGGAATTAAAACAATAGTTACATCATTCAAATTGTCTGGGAAAACTCCCTCATTCAAACATGAGAGAACAAATCTCGTAACTTCTGAACCAATCAGGTCCCACGTCTTTTGATAGCACTCATTCAAATATGTCCTTTTTAATCATTTGTAGTCGAAGGAGAGGAGTGCATACAAGTCACGCTTGTGGTTTATTACATTGAAAAGTAGAAGAGCAAGTTCATTAGTTTTGAAAATGAAATATGTTGCAATCTTAAGTGTGCTAGTACTCATTATGCATGATAGGTCTTGGTAGTTTTGTGGTTTAATTTCAAATTGCATAGGAAAGTAGAAAAGTTGTACATTTATTTTGGCAATGACATATGTTCATCGTTCTGCATGCAGTTCTTGTTTTGATATGTCATGTTACTCATTATTTATAGTCTGAGCAGTGGAAAAACCAATTCATTTAAATAAATTACAAATCTATCATGTTATATTAGAAGGTAGGTTGAATTGAGTGTACCTTACAATTTGCCTTAAAAGAAAAAATCCACTAAAATGACATGAAATGGTTATAGGGGATGAATTCACCCATGGAGCATATTTTCTAAAACTAATTAGGGTGTATATCAGCTGTGAACTATATATTCCATAGTATTGGATTAGCTAGTCACAAATCACAAAACGGCAATACCATTATCAATTGTTCCTAAATGCACTCTCTCTTTACAAAATATGACTCAAATTATTTTTATTCTAATTTATTTAAATAATAAATCTGTTTTAAGTAATTTCTTGCTTCAAGCAAGATTGACTTTTGACCTATAATTAAATAAAACTAATGATATATTTTAATTCAATAAAATAATATCTTGAAAATACTCTATAAGACAAATCTAATAAAATTATTCTCATATCAATATTTTACACGGGGTATAGATTTTATTTAATTAATTTTGACTATAGATGCCAAAAAAGACAAATACTCATGAACCAAGTTAGTGATTAAATATTAGTGTATGTTTGAAAAAGGGAAAATTTTATATATTCAAAAACTAGATAAAGCTTTCTACAGTATAAAATATGACGTGCTATAAATATTTTCTTAAAAAATATTTAACGTAAATAGATAAAAAACTTATAATTATCACGGCTTGTGGAATAGTGAAATAATTTTTTTAATAATAATAGAGTATAATAATAATAATAATAATTCCCTAAAAAATAATACTCCCTCCATTTTACAAAATCTTTTTGTCTTAACTCTTTGCGCGTTCCATTAAACACTTCTATTGCGGGTAGAAGTTGTTTTGGGGTATTTTAGACATTTTAGGTAGAGTAGAAGTATTTTACGGGATGTGCAAAAAATTAGGATAGAAGTATTTTGTGAAACAGAGAGAGTAATAATAACAATTATTATTATTATTATTATTATTATTATTATTATTATTATTCAGTATGTGTGTGTGTGTGTGAAATGTGATGGTAAAAATAGAAGGACAGTTATTTTGAGCATTAATAATTTTGCAATGGGGAGTACAAAGTTAGTTCTCTCTTATCATCTCATCACTTCAAATCAAAGTCACACTTCAATTCCCTTATGGGTTCCCTTTCCCTTTTGTCGTCGACCATTATATTAAGGAATACTTTTATTTATATTAATTTTTACCACAATTATTATTATTATTATTATTATTATTTACACACTGATCATATATATATGAGTACAAAAGGTAGCTAGCTAGCTAGCTAGTTGAAATCCAGTGATAATAAATTCCAGGGTTTCTATATTTAGTTAATTAACCAGCAGAGAGAATTGAAGAAATTAAAGTTAAGAGAGAGAAGAGAGAGAGGGGGGCAAAATGGGAAGAGGAAAGGTGGAGCTGAAGAGGATAGAGAACAAGATAAACAGGCAGGTGACATTCTCAAAGAGGAGAAGTGGTTTGGTTAAGAAAGCCCATGAAATCTCTGTTCTTTGTGATGCTGAGGTTGCCCTTATTGTCTTCTCCCACAAAGGAAAGCTCTTTGATTACTCCACTGATTCTTGGTATGTTTATATATATATATATATTCTTTTATTATCTTTATTTTTTTTCTTTCATTATTATCACTACTCAAATCATTCACTATTTAATCATAACATTATATTATATGATATGATGACTTTTCAAGATTGAATCCTCTATCTTTCACAGATGAGCTAGCTAGGGTTTGTTTCTTTTTTATTTCCAGTTTCATCTATTCAATTCTTTACACATGTTTGATTCATTCATTCTTTCTTGTGCATTTCCATGTATAATTCCATCAGATTTATTAGCTGGCTGACGATTCAGTTCGCTACTTTCGTGTAAGAATAAAGTCGATCTGTACTTTTTCCCGGAAGACCGATAATCAAGACCGTACTTTTTGTGTGTGTGATTTTTGTGTGGTTATTTATTGTGCTAGCTGTTGTTATTGTTGAGTTTGGTTTTATACTGAATTGGGACAGTCTGATTTTCTTTTTATGTGGGTAAAACTATGTTCCTTTTTTAGGGATCAGATAAGTTTAAATGGATATGTGATTTTCTTCTTTTAATGTTCTAAAAAAGCTCTCTTATGGTCTAAAAGTATGTTTGAATTTTGAACTAATAGCAGGTCATGTATATAATGATATTTGTGTCAAATTACATTAAAAGATAATTAAATTTAACCTAAGATTGTATTTCTCAATTAACATATTTCACGTAGTGTCTGAATGCATCTCTACTTTTGTCCAAAAAACGTGTTATAAAGATATTAATAGTTAAAATGTTACATTTCAACGCGTGAAAAATCAAACCGAATGAAAATTTTTGGAAGGGTTCGTGTATGTGTAAATAAAAAAATAACCATCCAAGCAACAAAAAAAAAAGTGAATGTAAACTTATTTTGTTTTTCAAAAGTAAATTAAGTTGGAATGATATGGAAAAGTTGAAAATTATTTGATATAGACCATAGAGAGTACAAATATGAATGAATGATGGGAAGACTGAAATGTTGAATGCAGTGAAGAAACTGATGGGCAATAACCAAAGGGTATTAAACTACCTCTACGTAGTCTACCTATTAATTAATAATAAAATAAACTTCTGGTGCATGTTTTTGGGACTGATTATTATATATTGTTGATGCATAATAAACTTAAATAAGGTTATATTATGTGGAAAATAATTATAATTAATGAACTTGCGCATTGTCACTTACTAATAAATGTATTATCTTCCTTTAATTAATTGACAGCATGGAAAAGATTTTGGAGCGGTACGAACGATACTCATACACCGAGGGTCGCTTGATTTCAACTAGTACAGACCCAACGGTACGCACCCGTTACAACGTACGTAAATATGGACTCACTGTTATAACGTCACGCGTAACGTTTTTTTCCCGGCAATTACATTGGAATTTGCAGGAAAATTGGACCTTGGAATATGCCAAGCTGAAAGCCAAGATTGAACTTCTTAAAAGGAATCATAAGTATGACTTTTGTTTGTTTAATTTTCGAATTTGGAAAATGTAACCTATATTTATTTTGAGGTCACTCTTAATTATTTGATTATTTGTCTTCTTTTTTTAAAATTGGATTCCTTTTAATTAAAGGCATTATATGGGAGAAGACTTGGACTTGTTGAACTTGAAAGATCTGCAAAATCTTGAGCAGCAGCTTGACTCTTCCCTTAAACTAATTCGGTCCAGAAGAGTATGTTTATATATATATATATATATATATATATATATATATATATATATATATATATATATATATATATATATATATATATATATATATATATATATATATATATATATATATATATATATATATATATATATATATATATTTACAATTTATTATTATTTTAAATATATAAACTTTTTGCTTCCATTTTAATAGTATAAAAAACAACTCACTTGCAGAATCAACTGATGTCTGAATCCATTTCTGAGCTTCAGAAAAAGGTAAGGCGTCTTGTGTTTACAGTTTATCTCTATTAGACTTGTTATTAATTATTACTCCCTATTAATTAATGAGTTTTTATACTCCCTATTATTTGAGTTCAATATAAATTAAACTTGATAAAAACAAGTTCTACATCTTATTGTTTATTTGTGCTTAAACAAGATTATATCCAACTTTTTCTTTAAGGAAAAACATACTCTCTCCGTTTGCTCTTTCATTTTTTTCTTCCACCAAAACACTTCAATTTTCTATTTAAAAATCACTTTTATCCATACTCTTTCTTACTCTATCAATCACGTAATATTTTTTCACTAATAGTCTAACCATCACATATTACTCCTCTGGAAGTCCATGTATATCCAATGGCATGCGGCCTGTTTAACCCAATTACACGTCTAGAAGTCCATACCAGCTGCTCGTGGTTCTTTAGATGTTGACGCTTAAAAAATCAAGACGATAAGAGTCTATTTGCAAGTGTGTTGTCAACACGTAAGATTCAAAATGACTCGATTGCTCACTTGAGAATGACCCGAGTGCTAAAGAGAATCTCGCATCAGAAAATTGAGAACAAAATAATGGGAAAATAGTGTTTTGAGTTGAACTAAATAATCCATTAGATTCAATCTTTTAATGTGGTTCACTATTCTCATTTCCGAACTATGCGGTCTTCATCTCTAATTACAGTACCAAAAATTACAATTCAAACATTTTCTGTTTGACAGGAAAGGGCTATTCGGGAGGAAAACAACATGCTGGTGAAGAAGGTGTGTTGACTGGTTTTTTTCCCTTTTCTTTTCTGTTTTTTGAGTGATTAAATCTATGAGTGGACTAACGTAGAGTACCTATACCATACATCTGGATGTACGGTGTTTTACGAACATCTGCATAGATACATATTTTCGAGTAACTGAATACTCATTTTAGAATAACAGAATACTCATTTTCGGGTAACTGAATGCTAATTTTCGAGTAACAGAATACTCATTTTCAATTTGAATAATTGAATGCTCATTAATTTACAAGAAACTTTTTTTAACACTAATAACTTTATGGTATGTTTGGGAACATGGATTTGAATTTCAAATCCGGATTTGGCTGAAATTTGATGTTTGGGAAACTTAAAAATTTTGAATTTGGATTTGAGTCAAATTTTTCTCATTCATGACAAAGCCATGCACCTCCTTCTGTCATTTGAAATTCAAGATTTCAAATTTTGGAATTGAAATGCATGAATTGAAATGAAATGCTAGTTGTCAAACACTACCTTAGTGTTATGTAGTGTTTGTACTCATAAAAAACATGACAAACACATTGAGAAGTCGTATATGTGCCCACTAGCTTTTCCTAGCTACCTTCTTATTATGATATTGAAAATTAGCAAAGTTTAATTAAGATGATGATGAGTTTTTAAATATTTTTGTTATCTTTTTTAATGCATGTGTGGTTTAGATTAAGGAAAAAGAAAGAAGAGGAGTTGCAGAAGTGGCATGGGATCAGCAAAACCATGCTTCCTTCCTTTTCCAACACCAATCTCTTCCGGCCTTAAACATTGGGTAAGTATTTCAATTGCCCTTAACATGATGGATTAAAGCAAAGATTATTCTCTATTTCTTTGGCTATATGGCTCTTTAAGCACTACTACTTTCAAATGTGAGGTACTAGTTAGTCAATGCAACTTAATTTAAATTCAATGCTCATCACGGTTTTCAACATAGGGGTTGGGCTGCGAACACCCGACCATACTTACCCCACAATGGGAGGAAGCCAATGACGCGCAAGGGCAATGTTGTTGTTATGGTCATTTAACCATCAACGTTATTTCTTCCTTTCTTTTTAATTCTTGCATTCTATTCGTATCATCGTGTACTGGTGTTATCAAGAAAAATCTTTCTCTACTACCAAGTAGAAGAAGGCCTCCACACAGATCACCCTACTTGTTATGTGTTTTTTTGTGGGATTTTTTTGGGTTTGTTCATTTTGTTGTTGATGTTGTAGCACGACATCGAGTCCTCTCTAGAATGAGTATAATAATGACACGTAAATCATGGGTTGTCATGATTTTGTAACGCGCGCGTTATCTAATACGAGTTTGTACGCTGGATGCAGGGGGAGCTACCAAGGAGTAGAGGAAGAAGCGAGGAGGAACAATAACAACAACAACAATGATGATGAGCAGTTAGACCTTAATCTAGACTCACTCTATCCTCCATGCCATCTTGGTTGCTTTGCTTCATCATAAATCTACTACTATAAGAATATATAAATATAGTATTGTACTAAGTTTGCCATAATTGATTTGGTCCCCAGCTAGCCCACATATATATATATACACACAATATATGCAGGTGGATGGTGGTGACTAAAACTTATATAAATAATTGAGCTGTGCCACAACTCTTGATTTGATATTTTTGGAATTCATAGTACTCCTATATATATATATATATATATATATATATATATATATATATATATATATATATATATATATATATATATATATATATATATTGTATATCAGTACTGGATGGTTTTGCCCTACAAAAAGTTCAATGATATAATTAAGGAGCTGAGTATGTACACACACACACACACTGTTTTTTTTCTTTTTTGAACATTATTATTGTTATGACAAGCCCTTTTGGGAGGATTATGTTTTGGGCTATCTACTTGAATTGCATCATAGTGTCTAGGAGTTCTGTATTCCTAGGTCTTTAAAGTTATGCTATGCTTCTTTTATTTTTGGTAATCTTCTTTTATTAGTGACATAAAAACTACCTCAATTTGTTTTTATGGAAATAAAATCAGACCAGATCAGATTAGACCACATCAGATTAAAACATGCCGGTTTAAATATGATTATAATTATATCCAATCAAATCAAATCAAAGAAAGAGAACAAGCTCTTATTCGTGTAATATGTAGGGTCTATTTTGGGAGAAGGACTATTCAGGAATTTACAACATACTACGGCCATGTTTTCTTTAATTTATTTTTTCTTGCTTATTACCTACTTATGTTTATCAAATTCAAACTAGTTTATATAAGTTCTGATCTTATAATTAAGATTAGTTCACTAATAACTTTAAATTATACTTCGTAATACATTCAATAAACCCTTCATCTTTCATTTTTTCTAATTTTCTAAAATACTTTCACTTTCTATTAAAAAATCAATTTCACCCTTACTTTTTCATATCCTACCTATCACATCATATTTTTTTCACTAAGAACCCAATTATCACATCTTATTTTTATCCATCACATCAAGAGTAAAATTAGAAATAAAAACCATAAATATACTTAGCTTATTTTAGCCTGAAGTCAAAATGGGAAGAATTTAATAAACGGTGGAGTATTTAATAACGTATATGAAAAAACATTTCACGTATGTTTCAGTGTGCTATAACACCTCGCGAGTTATAAATACACCGTATGTTTCAGTGTGCTTAATTTTTCAAATCTCAAATTCAATTTTAGATCAACATAAGAAATTAACTTTTTTTTAAGAATATAAGGTAACTACGTAGTATACTGAGGCCTCTAACTCTAACTCTCTTGCCAAGAAGGCCCAAAAGATCGAGGAAACCGAAGCGTCAAAGCCCTCAGAAAATAAAATTAAACAAACAAGAACAGAAAATTATTTCGGTGTATCATCGCTTTTCTAATAAGAGTTTTCAGGACTCGTATTATCTGAAATATACTCCGATGCATCCTCAAATTCCTGGTAAGAAATGTTACACCTTACATTATTCGAAATAAACTCCGAAGGGTCCTTAAAACTTGTGATGTTATACATTGAAGGTACGTCTCATTCATAAACTCCGAAGGGTCCTTAAAACTTGTGTTGGGCCACTTATTCTTTTGAGACGGATGCACACAGTTTAAGGTATCCATCAGTTAAATTGTCACTGCTACACTCATTACACTATCATCTAGCACCATTGCTCGTCGGAACACCATCGCTAGTCGATGATGTTGACCAGTTATTCATTGGAAGTTTATTCTTATGTAAAGAGATTTCTTATAAAATATGGAAAAATTTTAATACCTCCAAAAGTCTGTCGTGCCCGCTCAACAATAGCGTGCGCCTGAACTTTTACGGAGTATTATACGGAATATATCCATAATAATGTTTAAAAATCCGGATTAAGCTATTTGTACACCAAAACTTGTGCCTCATTTTGTACCCGAAAGGCATACACCGACACTTTGTCCTAATGTGATGTAGTAAATTACATTAACAAAAAAATATCAATACAAATTTTTTAAATTGAACTAATACTTTTTTCCAGTGTGAATCGTTAAATACAAACATATACTAACAAAAATATTAGCACATTTCTTTGAGATACAATTTAGAGTACACTTTTTAATGTCCCCTAGCTGGTTGTGCGTGTGAGAATTCAAAATCTTATTTGGGATAAACTTCTACCCAAATCCAAACATTTCTTTTTCCAATTGGTAAACTTTAATAATCAATTTTTCATTGGCGATTTAATTATGTTTAGCGATCACCATGTTAGAAATTGTATACTCAGTATTATTTTTCATTTTAGAAATAGAAAATAATTGTGTGCATTTGTGTTTGAATAAAGAAAAATGCTAAGAATACACAAAAAAATGTACCCCAAATGTACCTCAAGTGCTCCTAATATCACACATTAATGCATGTAAAGAAAAAAAGAAAAAAATAAACAAAATAATAATGTATGATTATAAAATAGATGGTGCACATTTGGGATACACATTTGGTGTACCCTTAGTATCTCTCTTGAATAAATGATACTCCTATGTCCCGAGTGAAAAGGCACGATCAAAAAATACACTTTTGATTTGTCACACTAACTTTGTCTCTGAGTATTTGTCGAGCCACTTTTCATTCTTTTATTTAGCAATCACTTAAAATTGTCTTACTTTTTTAATGAGTTTTTTGCACTGTTTACCACGAAATTCTCCAAAATTTGGTCGGATTTCTATTGAACTTTAAATATTGCATCAAATGGTCCTTGAACGTTTAAAAATATTGCACCAATAATGGTTTTTCTGCGCCACATTTGAGAGCGATTGATCACGTACGTGCTCACCAAAATACATGTTGAAGCTTGATGCATAAATCATCCAAAATATGAGTAAAATATAGAGTGTCATTTATTCTCAAAATAAGAGTTTCATATTTTTATACCCAAAATAAAAGTTTCATTGTACTCCTATTTCGGGGATAAAAACAAGAAATTCCTATTTTAGTATTTTCTTTATGCTTTACTTCTAGTTTAGTCATTTTCTCATGAAGATGACATGAATCGATGAAAAATTTAAGAGCTTGATTGACTAATGTCTGGGCTTCGAGTTCGATTACAGATCTGATTGCTAAAGCAAGGATAATAATCTAGGTTTCAAGGATAATATATACTCTCTCCATCCCTAAATATATCTCACATTTCTATTATTGAGACAAAATACGGAGTATCAAGTTTTTTCAATTCATTTTATTTGCATATTGGTATAGAAATAAAAAAATAAAATTTACATATCAAAAAACTTCATGAAAAGTTTTTCGAAATAATAGGTGTCAATAATATTTTATTTTATCAAATAACCAATGAAAACGTAGAAATAAACAAAAGTTCTCGCGACTGCTTGAAAAGCAAATGTGCGATATATGTAGGGGCGGAGAAAGTAGAAGAAAATGTTTGAAAAAGTTATATTACAGAGTTATTAACACACTACTTAATCCGCCGCTAAATGACCATTGATGCAACATTTTTAAATAATGAGCGAGAATATATAGTTATCTAGATTTTTATAGTTGGAATAATTTTAGAAACCAATTCAAAATTAAGGGACTTGATTATATGCGTAATTGCAAATTAACCTTATTTAGCTATTGAAACCACATATATTTGCACGTTTTAATTAATTTCTCTCAATAGAGATAAATCCACACTTTGTGACAATAATGTCAATTTACTATTTTTTTTATTCCCTTCCATAATTATGCAGGGAATCATATATGTGGTGGGACTGGGAGTACGTAAGCACTAAATTTAATTAAGATCAAAACCATTTTTCTTATAATTATTGATTTGCAATTCTTGGATCTATCTCAACAGGCAAGCCCCCTTTCTTCTTCTTCTTCTTCTTCTTAATCTTCCACGTTAATTATTTACTAGACCAGTAATTAGTTTATTCTTGATTTAATTTGCGTTAAATTTATAGTATTTATAATTCAAGTTTTGATCTAGGGTTTATAATTTTTTTCTTACGGCAGTGCATGGAATATTAGAATCTGAATTTCGTTCTTTATTATCAATCAATAATTACTACTTTCTCACTAATCACATAAATAGAATTGTGTACTTGTGATTTAATTACTGGAATTATTTTAATTTTTTTAAAATATGATCGTGGATTTTGATCTTCGTTCATACATTCTTGGATCATCAACTACATGAATATATGTCATTTATTGTGCTATAACTTTGGTCTGGTAAAACTATAATCTTGGTAAACTTTTTTACATTTTGGTAACGTACATATTACTGTATAATTTTTTTATTTTATTTTTGAGATTGATCATATTGATGAATTATTTACTTTGATTAAATTGTGATTAATAGTGTTATTTAGTTGGGAAAATAAAATGGGGATGGAAACGGGGAGAGACAGAGAGGGAGGGATGAAGAGACGGATGTGTTTGTGTGCAAAAGGCGATTTTCTCCCGGAGGAGTCATTCAGGAGCTGGGGAAACTACGTCGGCGCTCTGAAGCAAACTCCGTCTAGGCTGGCAGATCGGGTACTGACCCGGTCCAGTGACCAGACGGAGCTGGACGCCAGATCCCAAAGCCAAAACGAGATGAAGAGAACACTGTCATGGTGGGACCTCATCTGGTTTGGCATGGGAGCCGTCATTGGCGCGGGAATATTTGTTTTGACCGGACTAGAAGCCCGAGAGGGCGCGGGACCCGCCGTCGTCCTGTCCTACGCCGTTTCCGGCCTCTCCACCTTGCTTTCCGTCTTTTGCTATACCGAGTTCGCCGTGGAGATCCCCGTTGCAGGTAATGGTGATGAATAATCATTTTAGACTTGCACTTTTTTTTTTACATTTGAGAAGGGGTAATCGTACATCATTAATTTGGTGTAAGAGTGTGACTCTAACTCAATTGGCTTCATCCTTTTGCATTTTGAAGTAATAATCAAAATTGTCATTAACGCCAATTGAGTGTTATTTAATTCATGATTTGAAGATGGTAGATGGATATTATATAATGTTAATTACTACTAGGTGGTTCGTTTGCGTATCTGAGGGTGGAGCTGGGAGACTTCGTCGCCTTTATCGCCGCCGGGAACATCCTCTTGGAATACGTCATCTCGGGGGCGGCGGTGGCGCGGTCATGGACATCATACCTGGCAACCCTCTTCAACAGGGACCCACAGTCCCTTCTCATAAGGGCAGATGCCCTAGCGGAGGGATACAACCGCCTGGACCCCATTGCGGTCGTGGTCTGCTTCGTCATATGCATCATTGCCATCCTAAGCACAAAGGGCTCCTCACGCCTCAACTACATTGCCTCATTTGTCCACATGATCGTCATCGTCTTCATCATCGTCGTCGGCCTCGTCAAATCCAACCCCGACAATTTCGCCCGACCCTTCATGCCCTTCGGGCCCCGCGGGGTGTTCAAGGCCGCGGCGGTCCTCTACTTCGCCTACGTCGGGTTCGACGCGGTTTCGACCATGGCCGAGGAGACGAAGAACCCCGCGAAGGACATCCCCATCGGGCTGGTGGGGTCCATGGTGATCACGACCACTATATACTGTCTCCTGGCTGTCACACTCTGTATGATGCAAAAGTACGACACGATCGATGCGAACGCACCGTTTTCGATTGCGTTCAAGAATGTCGGGTGGTCTTGGGCTCAGTACATTGTGGCGTTCGGTGCTCTCAAAGGTAATATCGATCGAGACGATTTTGGCGCTCGTGGTATTTTTCACTTTTTGTACAAATTTCAGCCACTCATATTTTATTTCTGAACATTTTTTCTTACTCTAAATGATATTTTTGTTTGCTTGCAGGGATGACTTCCGTTTTGCTAGTCGGGGCGGTTGGACAGGCGCGTTATCTAACCCACATTGCTAGAACTCACATGATGCCCCCGTGGTTTTCGCACGTTGACTCCAAAACCGGGACGCCAATCAACGCGACAGCGACGATGATGGCTGCGACGGCGATCATCGCATTCTTCACAAAACTCGACATCCTAGCAAACCTCCTATCGATCGCCACGCTCTTCATCTTCATGCTCGTGGCAATCGCTCTCCTAGTGCGACGCTACTATGCCACGGGCCAGACCACGCCCCGTGACCGCAACAGATTTATCGTGTTCCTCTCACTCATCCTTGCGTCCTCGGTGGGCACTGCGGCTTACTGGGCGCTGAGTGAGTCCGGTTGGGTCGCATACTGCGTGACCGTCCCAGTCTGGCTTCTGGCCACAGCCGGGATCCGATTCCTCGTGCCCCGTGCCCGGGACCCGAAGCTCTGGGGGGTGCCGTTGGTGCCATGGCTGCCATCGGCGTCGATCGCCATAAACATTTTCCTCCTAGGATCAATAGATGGGGCCTCTTACAAGAGGTTTGCAATTTGGACAGCATTTCTATTGGTTTACTATGTGATGTTTGGGCTCCATGCTTCCTATGATGCAGCAAAGGAGATGGAACAAAGAAATAATGAGGAACAGCTTGGGAATAACATTGAGCTCGGTGGGGCCCCTTGACAATATATATGTGTGAATTCAATACTATGTTTCTTTGCTTTAATGTCTTCAATCTTCATTAGTTTGATTGCCAATTAAACAGTTAAGGTGGTATCTTCAATTCATTTGTAGATGTTGCTATTATAATCACAATTGTTGATATGCATGCTACGTTTTGCAGCTTTTAATTGAGTTACGTAGTACTCCCTCCATATGAAAAACACTTCCCATTTGGATTTGGGGCAAAAATAAGGAAGTGTTAAATTATACGGAGTAGTTGATTTTCAATTTTGCCCCTGATGTGATAGGTAAAAGTAAGATGTGATGGATAGATTATTAGAGAAAACGTATGATGTGATAGGTAGGGTATGAAAAAGTAAGGGTAAAAGTGGTTTTTAATAGAAAAGGGAAGTGTTTTGTTGGAAATGGAAAAAATGAAAGAGGAAGTGTTTTTGAAAATGGAGGGAGTATTAAACAAGTCCACTGATCCACTCTATTGTTATTAGACTAGTACTTCTTTGGTCCGGTAAAAAATTTTCTAACTTTTACATATTTCTTGTCATATAAAATATTTTAATTTGATCTAAATGAACACAACTATCTTTACGTTTCTTAAATCTAATCGAACTTACTTCAACTATCTTTTACGTCTTATCAATTTTGACATTTTCCAAACCCTACTCGTTTCAATTATGGTCGTTTCACATTGGTCAAACTTCTATAGTTTCTCATCTAAAAAGTCGAAGCATAAAATGTTTTGTGGAACGGATGAAGTATATATTTAGGTCTAGACTACCAAAATCCACATATTTGGTAAGACATATACATAAATCACCACTTTCTATATGTTGGGATTCCTCAAGTCCCACACCCGAGACAGAAGAGAAGAAAGATTAAAATAAATATGCCTAACCCGATTTCATTAGTATGAGTTCTTCTAGAGGTATTCAAAAATAAATTCGTGAGGGTTTAAATTAAAGGGGACAATAGGCTGGGGTGAGGGCACGCCTGGCCCCAACACCTCATATAGTCATTTAATTTACACCATCATTCTTTTGTTCTTTTTCTCCCTTGCTTATTTTTGTCATTTTTACGCTCTTTCAGTCATTCTATTCTTTTAAACAAAGAGAATGAGTTTCACTCATCCACCCTTTATTATAAAAAAAGTTTATGGTTTCTTTTTTAGCTTTTACAAAGCTAACTTAACTTGTTTTTTATTTTTAAATTATCTATTTCTAATTCATTATTGATTCATAATTTCATGTTGTAATTGAAAATTTAAATTTAAATAGATTCATTTTTTAACACTAATTTTAAGTCATATTTCTTTTCTCCATCATAATCCTCTCCCTTTATTCAATTAGCACTTTTTTTGTCTTCTATCCAAACACACCTTAAGCTTGGATTCGTTACTATAACCAAATTATTTTTGGGCTAAATATGATTTCCTTAAAATCCCCAATTACCCTCAATTAAAGCGTTGGGCAGCTTCATCTTCTTCCGGTCGACCCTCCCTGCCTCCCATTCGCGCGCAGCTTCATCAGTTTATAGTCTACCCACCCCCCTTCACGGAAATCGCCGCCTGTTAAAACCCTAATTTTGTCACTCTCCCGCAAAGACACCTCCGTTTTCACACTTTCCGGCGAACTTCGTCATGGCGTATAAATCAAATCCGACGAAGAACGACAGTGGGAAGAAGAAAAAGAAGAAGAGCAAGTCTGGGCCGAAGGCCATAAGCATGAAAACAAAAGCTCCAGCTCCCAGTCCTTTTGAAGCCATCTGGTCTCGCCGGAAATTCGATATTCTTGGCAAAAAGAGAAAAGGAGAAGAACGCCGTGTCGGCCTCTCACGCTCTCTTGCTATAGAAAAGGTCATCTCTTTAGGACATTCAAAGAAATGTGGACGAAATTCAAACACATTGGTTGCTTTGTGTTTTTTTTAATTTTGTTCTTTCCTTGGTTTTGGTAACAGAGGAAGAAGACTCTACTGAAGGAGTATGAGCAAAGTGCAAAGTCCTCCATGTTTATTGACAAGAGGATTGGGGAGCAGGATGGAACGCTTGGGGAGTTTGATAAAGCTATTATTAGGTCTCAGCGCGAACGGAGGGTTAGTCTTTTAATTTTGCAGAACAAGAACTTTGACAATGTGGTAGTGCCTTGTTCTCTGAGAAAAATAAAAGAATTGGTGGAATTTGTTTTGAGCAGTTTGAGAGACTCTAGGATAACCTTGCAATGCAATTATTGTTAATGTCCATAGTTTTAGATAACAAATCGCAGTAGGTGATTGCTTTATAACTTTTACTGCTGCCTATTTTGCTTATTTACTCAAACAGATATAAACAACTTTGTACTTTTTATGTATTAATTATAGGATTTCATTTGTAATTGCAGCTGAATTTGAAGAAAAAGAGCAAGTATAACTTATCAGACGGAGAAGATGAGGAGTTGGATGGTAGTTTCTTTCAAGGAAGGGATGACTTTCAGGATGAAGTACCATTTGATGATGATGAGGACGATAGAGTTGATACTAGTGGAAGTAAGTTTTCAATATTGAATGAATTTATTTACTCTTATCTTGTTTTGTTGAGTAAAAAGGCAGTGCCTGCACATTTTATTTGCCATCTGTGTAAACAATTGGAATAGTTGAACCCTACTTTTTGGGGAGAATTACTGCATGGATGCAAAATCATACCTTGGTATTACATTTATGCTTATGTTCTTTGGTTGCAACTTGGGATTTGTTTTTGTTGTTGTTGTTGTTGTTGTTGCTGTTGTTGTATATTCACCTGAGACTTAGTCAAATATACAAAATGGATAATGATGGCGGAAGACATTAAAATGGAGGTAGAATTCTTTTTGGTGTTTTGGTTGTTTTGGATGAGTTATCTTTTAGAGAAAAAGAAATGGTATACTTTGATATCGAAAGATGTGTGTGAGGATGAGGGGTGAGAAGAAATATGGAGGAAGATAGAGGTGAGAATATATTCTAAGGTTTTTTAAAAATAAGATATCGTCTAAGTTGATATCAAGAGATATGACACACTCTCAACTCACCTTAGGGATATTTATCCATAATACACGAAAAGAATCACTTATTCAAGTGTATGATTAGACTTCTAATACACACTCAGAAGTAGCAAACTAAAGAAATATAAATTCAGAAATGGTTGAACAAGCATCACACATGGTCTAGAGGTATGAGTCAAAGTGTAAAACAAAAAGCAATTTTAATTCATGGTTCAATTGTGTTACAAATGAGCTAAGGCCGTGCTTATATAGGCTAGGGAATGCATGGTATTTAACTAATTAATAAATGAAGAAAACAGGAAGAAAAACACGGGGGTGGGGAGACTCACATGCCACACACACATAACACAACATAGACTTACTCTTCCTTAAGACAAGCTTCTTTTCACATGTTGTCTTCATTTATAGAACTTGGTCTTCTTGGGTTCTCTTCCCATTATTGTGTTCCTTCTTGTGTTATCAAGTGGGCGGTTTTCTTTGTTGAAATATTAGCCAAAGGATATAAGAAAACAGAAAAGAGAAGTGCACTGTTTATGGATAATATTTTTGGACTTCAAGGATTCTTCTGGGTGTTTTTGGATTATAAGGATTTTACGGAATAAAGATTCAGGTATTTTTGGATTTTAGGGGTTTTTGGGTTTATGGTGCATTTTATGGTGCTTTATCTGTGTTATACTGTGTTCCCTTCCATATTTTTGTGCAGGTGGAGCCGGGGGTCTCTTGGAAACAGCCTCCCTACTCCCGAGTAGGGGCAAGGTCTGCGTACACACACCCTCCCCAGACCCTACTGTTGTGGGATTCACCTGGGTTGTTGTTGTTGTTTAGGTTTATACAATATAAGGTTAGTATTTGTTATATAGAGGGTCTAGGATGTCATGGATCCGATATATAACAGTTGCATTGTTGGATTTTTTAATATATACAGAGTGTATCATTCCTTTTAGGTATTTTACAGAATCAGTAATTTTCAAATTGTTATAATATTATACTCCCTCCTTCCCAAATTTATCGTCATGTTTCGAACAACATGCACAATTTCATCTACTCCGTATTTTAAAATGATTTTATTTACAATTAAGTATAGGAATAAAAGTGAAATTTACATATTTAAAAACAACATCAAAAGTTCTTCAAAACAAGTGCTGAAATGCCTATTTCATTTTATCAAATGAACAATGAACTCACACACGCAAACAAAAGTTATGGGAAGTCTGGAATAGTAAACATGACGATGATTTTGGGATGGATGGAATATTGTGTATTGTACACCATGCTTAATATGTTGATAGCCAGCATGTAAGTTTTCTTAAATTGTATGATAAAACTTTTGTAGTTTGTTTCACCCTATCATTAGAAATTTATGAACTTATAAAACTACTTGGGGATAGAGAACAGTGGGAGTACTTGTTCCTAACCTGAACATGGACTAGTAGGGTGTTATCGATGCTTCATCTGAAAACTTGCCACATGGATGTCTGCATGCTATTTTGGTGGTTAAATGGACTTTGCGTGCATGATAACTGATATGATGAATCCTGGTGCTCTATAAATTATTTCAGATGCTATCTTGAATTAGTAGCTTTAAAACAATGCGAATAAGAAATGTGGCTCAAACAATCTGCAAGTGACCTTAAATGCTGTATATTTCTTTATTAACTTTTTTTTGGGCATATAGAGAGGTCAGCAGCCCTGGAACAACTTGATTCTCTTGGGGAAAATGATGCGCAATATGGTCAGATTGAAGGCGAGGAAAATGTGAGATCAATTCTTAATCTAGCCTTGCCAGTTTAATGGATTTTAGTTTCTCTATTGCGTTAATCATTTGAATTTGTTTGACATCTTTTTATGCAGAGGCACAAATCCAAGAAAGAAGTGATGAAAGAAGTCATGTTGAAAAGTAAATACTATAAGGTTGGGATGGTTTATCACTACTTCTCTTTTCATGAGGTGATAGGTGTACGGATCAAGTTCATTTTTTCATTCTATCTGTGCTTATCCTATTAGGCTCAAAGGGCAGAGGAAAAAGAAGAGAATGAGAAATTGCTTGAAGAGTTGGACAAAAAATTCACATCATTGGCGCAGTCAAAAGCATTGTTGTCGCTAACACAACCAGAAAAAATTAAATCTCTCAGAGCTCTTGTTAACAGGAATATTCCAAATGATAATGAAGATAATAGTGAAGCAGCTGATTCTAAAAGAACAGATTCATCACAAAAGGTTGTCTGCTTTGACACTCTGCACTTTATATCATTTGAAACCTAATTTTTAACTGCTTCTCTATTAGTGTTGATTTTACTTTAATGAGATTTTGCATTGAATTTATAATTGTAGGAACAATCTGATTGGTATAGCATGCTACTAAGTGAAGTAGAACTGGATCGGCGTGCTCAAGCAGCAGAACTAGCAAAGACACCCGAAGAAATGGCACAGGAGGAGAAAGAGCGCCTGGAAAGATTGGAGGTACATTACTAAGGAATCATATGTTTTTGGGTTTTTGTTTTCTAGATTTGGAAAATAGAGAAAGAAAAGTCAGTAACTCCCATAGTTTTCTACTTCTACCTTTTCTCTATCTTGTTTCATTCATATGTTGCCACAATGTAAAAGAAAAGGCACATTTTATGAGAGCTTGATGTTATCACAACATGTCTCTCAAACTGAAAGTTAAGAAGTGTTGGACATTCATTGTCTAGAATTACACACAGATCTAACCCGAGCTTACTTTATAACTCGGCTTGTTTTGGCTATGTTACAAAAAAACAAAATCAGATATTCCAAATGGTTATGTTTTACAGTCTAAAATAAAATCAGCACCACATTTTATTTATTTGAAATTTTATAGTGATACCTGGATTTTTTCACCCTAAAAGATAATTTTTAATCTTTTTCTGATAGCAGCTTGCCTATTAGGCCCAATACACACATTCGCCAAAAAAACACACATTGGCATTGTCAAATTTTAAATTGGTAAAAATAAATGATTTAAAAATTTAATTAATTTTTAATAAATTGTTAATATGGGAAGATTTTATTTTAGACTGTATAGTAATTTTTTTGTTGGTTATTCAACCAAATATTTGATTTTCCGGTTTCTTTAGGAGGAACGGAAAAAGAGGATGGTTGCTGCTGATGACTCCAGTGATGAAGATGACAATGCATATAAAGAAAAAGAGGCATCTATCAAAGCACCAATATCTGGGGATGATCTTGGTGACTCATTCTCTCATGATGAAAAATCCAGATCTAAAGTGGGCTGGATTGATGAAATCTTGAAAAGGGGAAGTCAGGGCAATGCTGAAAGTGATGATGAATCTTCTACTGATTCAGAAAACAATGATGATGATCTGGATGAAGAAGGAATTCACGAGGAAGAGGATGAGGATGCGGATGAGGACGAGGATGAGCATGGGAATTCTCAGACTGTAAAAGACTGGGAACAGAGTTATGATGAAAATCTTGACATTGATTTAGAGGAAGACAAAGATGGAGATGAATTTGGGGAGAAATTTGCTAAACAGTCCAAAGAAGTAAATAAAAGTAACTCATTAGAAGCAGAGGGGAAGGAAAAGTGTAATGATCTGGTGAGAGAAAAATCAAAGGCATCTTTGCAGCAGTATTCAGCGCAACAAGTGGAACTTCCTTATACTATTGAAGCTCCAAAATGCTTTGAAGAATTTACTTCACTGTTAGACAAATGCTCTGATGATCAAGTAATTGAAGCAATTAGGAGAATTCGTACATTCAATGCAATCAAGATTGCAGCTGAGAACCGGAAAAAAATGCAAGTATGAATCTCTCTCTCTCTCATTAACCAAGAAGAAAAAGATGTCTTCCCTTGTTCATTTAGCCTTTATTTGGTTTAGGAAGAAATAATTTAAGAAATAAGACAGAGATGGAGAAGAGATAAATAATAAAGAAATATGGTAGATTTTGTGTGTTTTCTGGTTGGAGAGAAATGAAGAAGAAATTCGTAGAGATTGAAAAGGCATTTCTCTTCATGGGTGGGGGGGGGGGGACAAAAAGGCATTTCTCACGCTCTCTGTTCACACTCTGAAAAACAGATATTCTCCATTTTCTCCGAAGTATTTTTTCCCTCAATATTTCTTTCTTTTCTATTTCACCTTAACTGCACAGGCTTAAACTGTTGCATTTATTACTACTCAACTTTGACAGTGTTCTCTATTTTTTCTTCAGGTATTCTATGGGATATTGTTACAATATTTTGCAGTTCAGGCAAACACAGCTCCATTAAACTTGAAGCTTTTGGATTTTCTTGTTAAGCCAATTATGGAGATGAGTGTAGAGACCCCATATTTTGCAGCCATATGTGCTCGCCAGCGCATACAGAAAACTAGGGTTTTGTTCTGCGAAGATCTTAAGAATGAAGGTTGGTTATGCCGTGTTCTTTAATGACAAAAAAGTACTCATTCAAAAACTATCCCAAAAAAAGAGAACTATTTGAAAACGTAGTTATCCCAAAAAAGTTTTATTTCATTACCTAAATTTTCATGTAATTATCTAATAGCTTGATAAAATAGTTCTCGAACACTTTAAATACATGACATTTAGTTAGACTGACAAAAAATTTAAGCATACAAATAGAATTTTATGATCTTTAAAAGTTGTACCTTGTTAATATAGAAAGTTGTACCTTGACCAACCATGCCTTTTTTGGATGTATGGAGTAGTATATTTTTTGCTTGTCTACCCATTTGGTCATGTTTCTGACCTTTAATTTACACTATGGTAGGAAAAAGTGGTTGGCCTTCAACGAAAACCCTATTTCTTTTGAGACTTTGGTCTCTTATATTTCCATCCTCTGATTTTCGCCATGTTGTCATGACTCCGGCTATGCTATTAATTTGTGAGTATTTGGCACGGTGTCCTATCACATGCGGCCAAGACATTGTAGTTGGATCCTTTTTATGCTCTCTGGTGCTCTCTGTAAGTTCCTGTATAGCATATATGGACTACCTACCTAACTAACTAAAGAGCATACTTTCTTTGAAATTTTCACTTCAAGTTTGAGCATCCCATTACTTTTGCATAAATTCTCCTGCAGATCACTAAACATTCTCTGAAGTACTGTCCCGAGGCTATAATCTTCATTCAAACATTGCTACTAGCAGCCTCAGACAAGCAACAATTAGATTCTAAAAACTCTCAGGTTTGCTTCAAATGAAACTTTTGCATGACACATGTTCATGTGCACGCGCAGACATTATCTCCATTAAACTGGAGAGATTTACAGACTTACATCCTTATTTTCAGCAGTTGAATACTATTTTAGAGATTAAAGGAGTGAGGCCTCTGCTTCATATACAAAGCAAGGACGCAGAGATTAAAGATTTGAATCTTGTTATGCTGCTGGAGTTACCAGTAGAGTCCTCTTACTTTAGCTCCAATGATTTCAGGTGACATTGTCATTCTTATAATGTCTTTTTTTTATGTTTTCATTGAAGAGGGTAATTGTAGCAACAACAACACTAACAACCTCAGTATATTCCCAACTTAGTTTGGGCCTGGGGATCAAAATGTAAGCAAATTTACCCCTATAAAAATACAGAGGTTGTTTATGTTTTGCATTTACTACCAAGTAAGAAGTAAGAACGAAGGGATATATAATGTGCCATCAAGAGGTCATTTGGCTTTGAAAAAATATACTTAAGGGTCGGTTTAGAATCTGAAAAAAAATACTAGAGAAAGAAAATACTACGTAGCTAGTAAAATTTGAAGGAAAAGAATTATGTGGAAAATAAAAGATGCATTCAAACTCAATAAATTTATCATAGATTTTTTATTGCTAAATCTATCATAGACTTTGTTTAAACTCATTTAATTAATAAATTCATTATTTTATTTATAACTTTTCATATACACTATGTAAGCTAAGTACATGTACAAAAAATTAAAAATTTTGATATTTCATTTTCTTTTGCATTTGCCAAGGTAGTTGTACAGTTGAACATAAAAATTAACTTTCCGTAGCATTTGTTTTCCAGATCCAGATGCATCCTAAATATATAATAACAATTGAAACTGGTTTTCTGAATTCTTCTGGATTCTGTTCCTGGACCACAGAATCCCTTCTCATAATTCTGCCAAACACTGTATAAATAAATCTTCTAATATAGGATGCCTGAAAAAAGAAATCAGTTTCAAAAAGTTAAAACAAACATCCTCTAACATCATCAGTTTTATTCCTCTCCTGGGACTGCCAGACTTTAATGACTTTTGATGGGACCTTTGTATGCAGGGCTAGCATCCTTGCAACAAGCATGGAGACACTTCAAGGATTCATCAATATTTATGAAAAGTTTAATTCTTTTCCTGAAATCTTTATCCCGATTTCAAAACTTCTGAATGAATTGGCAGTACAGAAGCATATGCCAGATGCATTGCAAGAGAAAATCAATGGGGTTATCCAACTAATTCATAAGAAAGTTGAGTACCATCACGTGCTGCGTCAACCTCTAAGAATGAGGAAGCAAAAGCCTGTCCCTATCAAAATGTTCAATCCTAAATTTGAAGAAAAGTAATATTTCTTGCTGCTTATTCTTCCTATTACATTTTTTTTACATTGTCTCGCAGTATTAATTTAGAGTTATATCAGGTTTACTCTAATGACTACACTATTACTGAATTTTCTTTTCATACATATTTCGTCCTAGATAAAGGGTGTTTTTTGTCCATTTACTAAGTTTAACCTGAATTCATCTTCGATAAAGAATGCATGAGAACTAATTCAAGTCTAACATGCATTCTTGATGAGCGAATAGAGTGCAAAAAAAAAAGAAAGAGCTTAGGACCAAAATGAGTAAATAGTGTATGGACTAAATCGAGTGTTAATTCTTTTAATTTCTATCTATCTATTATTACCATTACATTGTTTGTTTGATTATGAATTTTTGAAATGTGCAGCTATGTTAAGGGCAGAGATTATGATCCAGACCGTGAACGAGCTGAGAGAAGGAAGTTAAAGAAACGCTTGAAGCAGGAAGCGAAAGGGGCAGTTCGGGAAATTCGTAAAGATAATCATTTCTTGTTTGGGGTGAAGGATAAAGAGAAAGCAGGACTAGCAGAAGAAAGGAGTGAGAAGTTTGGGAAAGCTCTTGCTTTTCTTCAAGAACAAGAGCATGCATTTAAATCTGGGCAATTAGGAAAAGGCAAGAAAAGAAGAAGGTGAAGTTCCAACTTCTGGTGTGACACCCATATGGGAAAAAACATCAAACACATACTCCCTCCCCTTGAGAAGAGACATCTTGGAGGCTATTTTTGGCATTTTAGAAATACAAATAGCTATGTGCAACAATCTTGTATTGCTCTTGTTTGTGTGTGTGTGTGTGTGTGTGTATGTTATGAAAAATTAAACTCCTGCATCAGAACTAAGTATTGTCTCAATTTTGTCTGCTTATTTAGATGGTGTTTGTTTCCAATTGTGTTTGAAAGAGTTGCAATATTTTTATAGTTTTTTTTTACAAATTTACTTGGGCCCCGTTTGGTACATGGAATTCAAATTATGAAATTGGAATTGAGGACTTCAATTCCAATTCTGGTGTTTGGTAGCATAATTATTACCTGGATTTGGAATTGATAGTGCAAAAAATGAATTGAAATTGGTGAATTCAATTCTATGGAATTGAATCTCATGGAATCCTAATTCCAATTCAATTCCAATTCCACTAATTCCGTATACCAAACGGACCCTTGTAGTTATTGATGTTGAGGTCTCAAGGCTGTTTAATCTATCCTCACACTTTGATATATTATTATTATTATTATTATTATTATTATTATTATTACGGAGTATTATTATTATTATTCAAATACAGTGAAAGTAGGTTAAAAGTTTGTTTAGTACTTATTTATGTATAATTATAATTATTACTCCGTATTTTATTTTGACCAATCCAGCAGACCAGCACATTCCTTTTCGGTTTTCTGTTTTCGAAATTTTCTAAAGGCGTGTTCGGAAATCAAAAGGTACATTAAAGAAGAAAAGTAATTATGGAGAAAAATATGAACGCTAATTTAACATTGTCTACAAAAATCAAAGGGATGTCAATAAAAAAAGAATGATGGCTTTGTTGGTCGCGGGATTATGACCCAATCCGCCGCGAAATTTGAACAAATTAAATTAATAATTGTCCCCATTAGCTTAGCAAAAAAAAGAAAAGAAAAGAACAATACCTTTTTGCCGACCTTATTTTTGTTGGACCAAAAATGCAAATCCGAAAAAGCTAAAAGCGACTCCCAACTTCCTCACTCACCACACACATCAAATGTATTATTTCCTCTGTCTAAAAATATTCTTCTTACATCACATTCTCGTCTCTCTAAAAAATATTATTTTCGTTTTCATTTTTGGCCTTGGGAATAGTGAACAAGCAACTTAGATTGAAATAGAAAAAATATGAGACAACTTATAATAGCAACTAGTTAGGTCTCAAAATCTCATGTACCAGCAGTTCTAGGGGTCTCTAGGAAAATTTTTCGTTAGGGACCAGGATTGAGATGGACAAAAAGACCAGCAGTAATAATAATTGGTCAGTAAGATATCGTCGACTTGCATTATGTTAGATTTTTAAACACTATGTCAAAAGTTATTCAAAATAAGATGCGACAAGAATATTTTATTTTATCAAATAATCGATGGTATACGTACAAAAAAACAAAAATTCATGTGATTTTTGAATAGCAAGCTGTGACATTTGTTTAGACGGAGCAAGTATTACGTAAATGGGGGCAATTCAAATGGCAACCATCCGACAAGGACCTTGTAGTCCAATGACAATGCTATGACTCTCCAAAATAAGAGGTCACGTGTTTGATCTCCAGTATTAGCAATAACTCTACGAGCTTTAATATGTTAAAAATACTCCCTCCGTCCCTAAATATTTGTCACATTTGTATTCTCGAGACAAAATATCAATTTTTTTCAATTCATTTTATTTACATATTGGTATAGAAATAAAAAAAATAAAATTTACATATAAAAAACTACATGAAAAGTTTTCGAAATAAGAGGTGTCAAGAATATTTTATTTTATTAAATAACCAATAAAAACATAGAAATAAACAAAAGTTCCAACGACTCCTGAAAAAGCAAACGTTGCAAATAATTTGGAGCGAAAGGAGTATATGAATAAATACTACGGAGTACATTATAATAGAGTTATTAGTATTAAAAAAATGACACCCAACCAAATCTATATTCATCATTATGGTTAGTGGTTACCCAAGCTTGTCTCAATCTCATTTTTTCATTCCATACAGCAAGTTTCTATTCCAGATCCGACCAAGAAAAGTCCTTTTCTTAAATAAAAAAAGGGAAGAAAATTCCATCTTTGAAAGTTCATAGGTTCACCTTTAATAATCATTTCCTCCCTACCCATTTGTGGTTTCCAAGAATCCATCAAGTCAAATCTGTCACGTGGTCAACTACAAATCTGCCCTATCCAACTGACTTTTGATGAAGAAATTGGACATGGGTCATGTTCAATGTACCCCCAAAAGGGTAGATGAAGTAAAAACCATTTCTCTAGAAAAAGGCCAAGTAGCATATATAGATATATTTACATTCACTGGCTAAGTTTAATCTCTTTTTTTACCACAGTAACTGATTGATATTTCAGATTAATAGAGCCTAAGATTGCATATTTACATGGCAAGAGACAGATAAATTAATTAGGACTAATTTTTTTCAAGAATATGATCTGACAAGGCCGAAATTGCAGAAGGATCTTGACTTGAAAATGCCACCAAAGAGTGACCTGGTGGGAGATTCTTGAGGAACAGAGGAACTTAGCTCTCTGGGGGTACCCTTCACTTGTAGGATAGTCTGTCCTATCGTCTGCCTCACGGACTCTATGATCTTCGAATCGACTGGGTACCCCGAGGCATCCCGCACATAAAATGTATTGACAGCTTTACCCCCGCGAGTCGTGACTTCGGCTCTTGTCACACTCAGACTGTTCTCCCGGAATATTCGCGTCACGTCTGATAGCAGCCCCACTCTGTCTGTTGTGCAAAGCTCTAGCTTCAATCCCTGCATATAAAAAAAGAAGAGAAATTTGACTATCACTCAAAATCATCTAGAAAGGGTAATTGTGGAAATTGGAAAATAAGCAACTCTTTAAGGCCACATTTGGCTTAGCTTCTAAATTTTTTTATATATAAAAAAACAGTTCTGCATTTTCTGACCTCAGATACCCTTCTTTCAATAGCTGCTTCAAGACAGTGAATCACTCTTTGTCGTTCCGCATCCGACTTCACCGGGGACCCATCAATGTGTCTTATGCAATACTCCTGCAAATCAAACCATCAAATCTACCTTAGTACACTATCTTCATAAACAGAATGTTTCTAAAAAGAAATAATGGGTTCTTGATATGTTATGTAATCACATATTATGTTACAATAACAACCATAAACCCATTAAAATCCCACAAAAAGTAGCATCTAAAGAGGGTGTTTTACCCCTAATATGAAGTGAAGAGACAATTTCTAAGAGATTCCGGGCTAAGAAACAGATTTTTACAATGTACTGAAAAAGTCATAATTGACAGTTAATACGGAATGGAGTGAGTATGTTATTTCCTCAATCAAGAGACTTTTTTACCTGATAAGCTTCGGGACCCTCGGCATCAACATTGCCATGGAAGACTATATATTCCATGTCTGTCAAAGTGCAGATAACATCAAAGAGAAGCTTAGGTCTGTCCTTGCACTGAATCGTCACAACCGAGTAATCCCTGTCGTGCCAATTAACAACGTTCACATTAGGCCTTTGTTGATGACAATCCAAACCTTCATCATCGTCGTTAACACGTTCATAATCTCTGTCAGCAAACATCAGCTGGTGAAGCCTTCTGTCAGTGTGAGTAACTCCGTGGTTAATCTGAGTCTTCGCATCCCTGCACTTGTTGCTTCCCCTCAACACATTGCACAGTAGCTTCTTAACCATGGTTAATGTTTCGGGATTGGTAACTGGGCCCCCGGTCTCCTCGTCCGTGACCTGGATTATCGCTGCAGCCCGGGTGTTGTGGGTCCACACCTCGGCGTTCACCACGTTGCATTTTAGGTTCGTAAGGACCGCACTAACCTCAGATAGTAACCCTGGTCTGTCACTCCCTATTAACTCAATCGAGGTGTGGTTTGGTCCAGAAGTTACCCCAACAGCTCTTCTCATAGATGATTCAAAGCAAGAATCTGGACCAAGTGACTGGAAAAAGAAATGAAACAAGGAGTTCTTAAATAAGTGTCGATTAACGTGGTGTTTTCAATGTAATAATATATATCGGAAATCACGAAAAAAATCCGAAATAAGTCTATTTTAGATTATTGTTCAAACTCATATCATGTAAAGAAGTAAAGAACCCACACCTAAATGAAAATTAGAAAGTCTAGTCCACATTCTTTTGCATTTTCCAATGTCAAAGTCAAAAACATAAGAAGAAAAAAATTCCTTGGTTTTCTTCCTCTCATTAATCTATTTTTCCTAATCTTTTGGAGCAAGTAGATGTAGAAAATGTAGACGCAAATTAGCCAGTTAGTTATAATATTGCAGATGCGACGAACCTTCATAATATAATCCAAAACTGTGTCATCTGTTACCTTGTTTCCATCTTGATTAGTGACATTGAAGACTGCCAAAAAGAATCAAGATAACACATTATTCCAAGATAACACATTAACACCGAGCTGTTTTTTTACACGCGAGTAAAAAGTATATTTACCGTCCATGAACCATCCTCCATCAGAGCATATATAAGCCTTGGTAATGATAAGGTTAAGATCAGTAAGAACTTGCACTACCTCCAAAAGTATACCATGTTTGTTAGCACTATCCACCTAAAGATGTTAAAAAAATGTCATAAAATTGTTTCATAGTAGTAAAACCAGATCAGAAGAAAAGAACCAAGAGAAAAACAAACCTGTATAACAGTGGCATTTTTGCAGGATTTATTGTCAATTACCACTCTGACAGCAAGAAAAAAATGGAGTAAATGCCACAGACAAAAATGGGAATGTCTTTTACTCATAAGATTGAGTATTATTTATTACCTTGGTGGATTCATTCTTCTGATGAATTTTTCATACTCATCATCCATATTCTTAGACAAACCCACTGTAGTGTCTGAAAAATATTTCAAATAAAAAAAGTTCAGACAACATAAATGCAACAAAAAAAGAGGAAAAAAAGTGACAAAAAGAACAGAGAGTCATCAGCATCAATCCCCCACCCATTTAAGATAATGGACCCAAGAGTGCCAACCAAGTAACTGAGATTCTGAAAAAAGACATGATGAATACGAAGGGGGGGGGAACCAAAATAAAGCTGGAAAATTGAACACTAGATCACAAAATACACAAAGTGCTACAGAGAAAACCCACCAAATCTAGAAGGGAAATAAAGCCATTAACCGACACCGCAAGGATAAAACTTGGAAATGAAAACCCAGAATTTAAATTGAGAAGAAAAAAAATCAACAATGCCCAAAACTCAAGTTCAACAAGGAAGCCAAGAATCACAAATTTCAAGAACCAGAGACGGAATAAATAGGGAAAATAGAACATACCCAGAGAAATTCTAGAGAAATCGTGATCTGGGTCACAAAGATTTCCTTGATTCTCTTACCCTCCGGAAAGAAACGCTGTTATGGAAATGCAGAAAAAATGCTAAATTTGACCGGCCTTTCTCTATGCACTCCGTGTAAATATACATATACATATATATGTGTGTGTGAGTGTGTGTGTGTGTGTGTGTAAACATATACAAATGCACAAGAAATGAAATTATTACTATTATTCACATAAACCACACGAACAAAACCTGCAGCGTTCTAAAGTGGCACTGGAGAAACTACACAAACAGGCCTTGGATTTCTAAAGCTCTGTGAAGGAATATATACATATATATATAGGGTGTATGTATAGGTGGGTATGTGTGGAAACTCTTTCACTCTAGCTTTCCGGTTTCAGTTTCTCTTCTGAAAATCAGTCTTCAGAGCTTAAAAAGAAAGTTCCCAAAAACGAGCAATGACCCGTGGGGGGGTTGGGGTTACTCGGCGCATTTTAGCACTACGCCAGGGTAGTTAGGCGAGGCACAAAGAGAGGGTCGACTAAATTGCGCCGTCCGTACTTTCTTCTCTTTCTTTTTAATTTTCCCTTTTTTTATTTATAGGTAAATCACTCAACCAGTTTTTACCCAAGAGTAAAAATCTTTGAAGTTTTGGACCAATGTTGGTACACTCCCAAATCTTTTATGGAAATAGATTGGTAATTAAATGCTTTTTAGGGAAAATGTTATTTTTTTAAGAAAAAATATCATCAATTAATATTTGCCTTCTGTCTTAGAAAATCAAAAATTTTATTTAGAATAGTAACACTAATCGAAAATATTGTTCCCAAATAAGACCTAATTTATATACTATTCGAACGTTATCCAAATATTAACACTAAACACAAAGAATGATCCAAACGAATCCTATATGCTCCGTATTTGTTACTCCGTATTTTAATTAATTATAAGCTCGAAAAAAAATGTTTGACGCGTGTCTGATTAATTAATTATGAATCTTTACAATTAATACGAGTTAATGTTTGGATTTGGTTGACAAAGTTTCCTTTTGCCTTAATTGCATCATTAAAATTTACTCGCTCCTTTCGAGATTATTCTTCTTCTTTGTCTTTCTCATAATCTTCTATGTTACATTTTAATCGTTAATATCTATATTAAATATATTTTATAAAAATTTAAAATTTGAAAATTATGTTTCAATAAAAATATATATTGATACTAAATTTATATCATAATACAGTCTATTCTTTTTATACTGGAGTCAAAATTTACAAACCTTGATCCAGAAAAGTCAAATAAGAAAAATATTTTTAAACATAGAGAGGGAATAATTGATACACTGTATTACCATAGAAATTTAGCACGAGTTAACACTCATTTTATTCGTTTAAGAGCCTGTTCTTTAGGGCTTGAACTCTTAACTTCCAGTTTTTTCAAGTTTCTTCTAGTTTTTTCCAGTTCCTTCCAATTTCTTCCCGTTCTTCCAGTTTCTTCCAATTTCTTCCAGTTCCTTCCAATTTCTTCAAACTATTCTCATTTTCTTCAAACTTTTTCTACCCCTCAACTAGGGGGTTATTTTTTTTATAAATACTCATTTTTTCTTCTAAATTCTAAAAAAATCACACTCATCAATCCATACCCATCTCTCTTACTCTCTAATCTCTATTCTCTCATTCTCTCAAATTTCAATATCTCAATCTATCATTTTAATTTCTCAATCTTAATATCTTATTATCTCTTTTATACATTTTTTTAAATATATTATATTTTAATATAAAAAATTTCGAAATTATTTGAAATTTTCGAAATTTAATATTTCTTTAATATCAAAAAATATATAATATATATTTTAAATATATTCTCTATTTTTTTTTTGAAATTTTCGAAATTTTTATATATAAAATTTCGAATTTTTTTTAAAGTTTCGAAATTTAATATATTATTTTTTTATATCAATATATATATATATATTAAAATGTCGAGAGAGTCCGGTAGAAGGTCCGTGGATATGGGCGCCGTGAACCGAAGTTCGAGTAGAGGCAAAGCAAAAGTCACCTCCGACGGTTCGACCTCACGCGTTTCTCAAGGAAGACACTCCGTCTCTTCCTTTCCTACTATCCCCGATCACTTAATCGGGGACGCAATGACGGATGAAGAATTCGACCAGATTTATTCTGATAGAGGGGACGCAAATCTCCCCACTCTTGATAGTGTATTCGAAGATATTGATGAAGCAAATCTGGATAATCTGGACGGGGACGATGAGCCTACACCGCAGAGCAACGACGTTGACGTGGAGTCAGGTGAGCCCGCAACCTTTCGAGGTCCGGATAAAGGTAAAAAAAATATAAATTTTTCAATTTGTACTTGTTGAAAAATTGAATGCCG